AACCCAGGCCATTCTAGGATCGTGTGATATGATCCAGTGCTGCAGGGAAGGCCCATGGAACGGCAACCTCTGACCCAACCCAGGGCTGCCCACTGTCCAGCCCCACTGACATGGGGACCCCAATGATTATTTCCCTTCTCATATGAGCTCTGTATTGGTGGGGATGAGTTGATGGTTGGACTACATGATCTTAGTGGTCTTTTCCAACCTTAATGATTCTATTTGAAGCCTCAAAAAAATTAAAAATAATTAAAAAAAACCAACCAAGTAAGCCAAATAGCCACAAAACACAACTCTACCTTTCTACAGCCCTGGCAATAAATCCTCCAATGGCAAAAAAAAATGGTAACCAGCAGCAAACAGCAGTGCCAGGGGTGATAGGTTTCTGTACGATCTCCTGATGGCGTGGTAAATAACTGGTGTCACTTCCTTGTGATACACTTATTGCTTTATCAGGATAGGCATTAGAGAATACATCACATCCCTTTATGTTTTTCACTTCCGATTAAAATCCTGGCTGCTTCAATGAGCCCTCTGTACACAGCTGGTGATCTGTAACTTTCTGCAGTGCAATGTGACCATTTCTCAAGTCCTGTTCAACTCCAGCTGTAACTTTTCATGGGCAGAGATGGATGCCACAAGCAAAACGCAGGCATGGGCAAAATTTATCTCAATTTATCCTGCACAGAAAAAGTAACAGAGGATACCTTGCTGAAAGCAAAATATACTGCTCGAATGAATTTACAATATGTAATAAAATACAGCAAGAGGAGACCATTTATGTTAGGGGAAGAAGGTAATATATGATGTCAGTAACTCACTTTAAAATGATGCTATTAAGGAAGTATAAAGGTGATAATCGCCTTTTTTAGGAGTTGAAGTTATATTTACAAGCCAGTTGATGTGTGACATCCACCAATATAAAAGAGCCACTTTTAATTCCTTCCAGAAGAAACTATGTGTGTTTTATGCCACTTCCAGGTCTTGCTGCAGCAGCACGTGGCTGAGGCAGGCCCATAGCTGAGGTGATGGCAAAGCCTTCTGTCCTCAGGACCAGATTATAATTACAGAAAAGCAAAGTGTCTTATGCAATCCACACAGGGGCTGCTGAGGCCAAACCAAGAATTAAATCAGTTCTTCTGGCATCAGTCTCCAGGCTGACACACAGATATCCCAGCATTGCAGAAACCAAAGGAGAAACACCATCAGAAACGTTGTGAGCCAGTGTTGCCCAGTTAGCAGCATCCTACTACAAAACCAAGTTATTTTAGCATAGATTTAAAAGGGAACTGCCATGATTTTGCTCCATCTCCCTCTAGCAAGTGCCATTTGTGGAGCTGCAGCAGGTGTGGCTTTAGAGGAGTTTCACCATTTGCTTTGCCTCCCTAAAGGCTCAGAAGAAAGCCTGAATGTATGCACTCTGAATACTCAAATCCTAGAAGGAAAAAAAAAAAAGTTTATATTACCTTCTAAATCTCATGGCTTGTAAGTCAATATCATGATTGCAGAGCAGGCTGGACCGGGGAATGAAACCCCTCAAAATGTAGATCAGCTAGAAGAAGCACTCATGAATATTTTACATTAAGGAGGCCTGAGCAGCACAGGCAGCAGATCCAGCCTGGCAACATCAGAATCAGCAATGTCACTGAGTCAGCTTGGCTAGAGAAGGGTTTCTTTGGGAGAACCAATGCTCCCTTGAATGCCTTGATGAAATGACCACTGGTTCAATGGTTCTTCATTCCCAGCCTTGTCGAGAAGAGGTAGAGCTGTAGCCATGCATGGCAGAGAGGACCATTACTCTCCAGACAAAGCATTCCTGTGAATCACAGTTTTTGTAGTCCATTATAAATGTTGCTTTGCAGCTAAACTCTCCCCATCAAAGCAGAAGCATCTCTATTAGGTTATTTAGAAAAGCCCATCGTTATCAGGGTTTAATTCATTGACAAGGTGGGCAATTTAAATACTATCTTTAAAGATGATGAAATTGTACTGACCCCAGGAATGAAGAAGACAACATGAACACCACAGAAATTGTCAGCGACAAAAGTCACAGTGCCACAGAGAGGTGGTTTTCCTGCCTGCTGGTAACACCCTGTGCATTCTCTCTCAATACAGAAGCAGACAAAGCATTACTCAGACTGCATGTGATGCTGATGGAGAACAAAGGACCACTTCTGGTAGAAGCAGTGATTTCCTTCGGGTGCTGTGCCAGCTGCATGCAGGGCACTTTGACATCCCAAAGTGTTCGGGGAGAGGAGAAGCAAGATGCATTCCCAGCACTTGGGAAAGGCAACAAATGACATGAGGAAAGTCATGGTTTCTGGTGACAGAAATCCTTCTGCCTTTTAGTTTGGGAACAGAAATGCTGCCACATAATTATTACCAATTCTAGCTAGCAGATTTGTGCAAAGCAGGCTCCATGCTATTAGATCCTCTAACGACGAGGTCAGTGAACGTTGAGGGGTTTGGGATTTGTACGTTAACTGGAGTGGCACATGTTAGCAGGACATGTGAATTAATGACATTATTTATAACCCATCTCATTATCACACCCAGCTTGATGCCTCAGACAGCTTCTAATTCTCTTAACCAGTTCCTATGGCAGGAAATAAAACTGCTTTGCTTCATCTGTGATCCGTCAGAAGAACTCTCTTGTTGTTATTGTTTGTTTTTTAATGCAAAAAGCTTCTTTCAAAGAACAGCTTTGTGACTGCATGATGCAACTCCCTGCAGCCCAAGTTTCCCATACAAACACGTTCATGTTGACTCTGAGGAATGAACAATGAACAAATTTCATGCCTGATTCCCCTGCTTCGCCTCACTTTTGATCTCTAATATTAGATTGTTATAATTGCTTTTCAGCTCCTTGTGTGCATATTAGCACAGTGCATGTTGTTATAGAAATATGAAATTCAACACATCGTCCTTTAGATTTTGAGATAAATGTGCCCCTCACTTTTCTTCCATCCCCGTTGTTTGACCAAAAGAATAAGAGAACAAAAAGTTGAAGATATACTTGACAAATATTGAAACCTCAGATATGATTCCTGCACTTCCCCACCACCTTGTCATAGAATCATAGAATGGCCTGGGTTGAAAAGGAACACAATGATCACCTAGTTTCAACCCCCTGCTATGTGCAGGGCTGCCAACCAACAGACCAGGCTGCCCAGAGCCACATCCAGCCTGGCTTTGAATGCCTCCATGGATGGGTCACCCACAACATCCTTGGACAACCTGTTCCAATTCAGTCCTTCAGCTGAAAGAGGAGATTGAAGCCTGACCATTCTTAAACAGAAAATAAGTAAAAAGACACCTTTTGTTATCAAACTACACAGCTAAATGTCTCTCTATGTATGCATTTACACAGGTTTTTAAGAACTTAGAAATATAAGGAAGAGTTACAAGGAAAAGACACCATTTTCCTAAACAGGCTTCACAACAAAACCCACACTTTCTACCTTGTGCTGCCAAGAGAAATCACTACTTGCAAGGTTTGATGCCCAAGGACAAAGGCTCTGACCTGATTTCTGCTCCCTCCTCCCAGATTGGTACACGATTCTTTCAGGCAAAGAATAACGAGTGCCTGTGCATGTGCTGTGGGCTAATTAATGCTCACCTACAAACCAGGGGGTGATTTTTGTTCCTGCTAAATGAAGCCCACGCAGAGGTGGAAGGCCAGCAAGGCTGATGATAGAGAAAGCTGCTGCCCAGCAGCGAGTGATGCTTTCTTTCTGCTCCTGAGAAAATAAACACAGGGAATCAATTAGCTCTGAATATAAGTGAAAGTAATGTGACTTCTCAAGCACCTAAATTGTTTTGGTAATGGGAATGGAAATGAATTCATTATGAGTGACAATAACGCTAATCAAGATCCACTTCCAGAGGTTTGGAGGAGTGGGAAGGGCCATAATCGCAGCCATGCTCTCCAGCTTCTGCCTTCCTCCAGGATGAAAGCTGAACTGCTTATTCACAAAGTTAAAACCAGCAGAAATGGGGGCAGGGGAGAACAGCCCCTACGTGCAGCCCACGCTTTGGCAGTGCCATGTCAGCAGCGATGGGGCGAGGGCTCTGCTGCGCGTGGAGCTGAGCTCAATCTGAAGCACAGAGCAGCAGAGAGCTCCCAGCTCCTGCCTGGTGGGTGGAGGAGCCTTTTTTGGAAGATGTTTTTTTTTCGGAATCTGCTTCCCAGAAGCCTCTACATGCAGGTGCTATTCTTAATTATATCCTCCATCAGCTGGCAGATCTCCTGCCTGGCAGCTAATCCTCCATCCCTACTGCAGCACTGGGAATCAGCACAAAGCCCTGCCCTGAAACCAGCACTGCTCACCCACACTGTGGAAACATCATTTCCTCACACACACCTCTGCTGAGTTTACTCAGGGGCTGCTCAGAAATAATTATATAACACAATGGGAGGGGGGAGCAGTTGATTCCCATCTCTTCTCTTGCCACAAGATTATCAGGAGAGAGCATGGAGGAGGAGGGTTAAACTATGTGTCATCACATCCTTAAGCTAAAATGTCAAGGACTAAGAGGACCTTGCTCATAGTTGGGCAAAGGACAGCCTTTGCAGGACTTGGAGAAATGTTAGCTCCAAGCAAGCTGCTCCAGTCAGCTTCCCCTGAGATGATCCATTGCTGTGAGCTAATCTGTCATGTTAATTCAATGCAGCAAAACATGAGTAGATTGTACTTCAGCCTTGCTAAATAACAACTGATTACTAGTGACTGCATGGATGGAAGCTTCTGTGTGCAGTTATGCCCTCCCACCCAGCTCAGCCAGGTGATTTCTTTGCAGATGGGTCCATGTGCAGCTGTGTCTGTCTCCAGGTGATAAGGGGTGGAATGGCACCATGGGTTTTGCTGCCTCTGATTGCAGTAGAGCCACCTGTGCTTTTCTTCAGGCCCCTGTGAGGCACAGCCTGACACTGTTCATAGGGTAGGAACTAGAAGGGAAAAGGGTTCACAGCTCCAAGGGTATGGAAATATCACTATGAAGCACCCTCTGCATAGATCTGCAATGCTATTTTTGAATTATTAATCTTCTTAAACAATCTGAGTCACTGCCTCTTTCTTCCAGATGCACATCCGTGGCTGCTACCATGAAAGCTTCTTATTTCCATCTCTACCAAACCCACTCCCAGCTTTAGGGCTCCTTGGATGCTCCCCATGGTGCAGTTTCCTGTTAACACCCACTGCAGAGATCAGATCTCTGTCCATTTTGAAGCCCTCTCAGTTACAGACTTCTCAGCCTTTCTAAAGCAGCAATTACCAACAGACACTAATTAGCATGCTGCTATCTCTGAGAGAGCAGAGCAACTCCAGGAGAGAGGTAATTTTACAAGGCATAAAGGGCAGGTTTGTTAACAATAATTAAAACACAAGTAAGTACATAACAATAGACCTAAAGGTCTGATTTAACTGTATTCTGTCAAGAAAGCAAAGTTAATCCTGAAGGCAGTAACTGCCCCATTTCTCCTGAAATCATGAGTCCATCCTGGCTGCCAGACCAGTTCCCATACACAGTAAAAGCCCAGTTGCTTAATTCAGGCAGTTGGTATGTGATTTTAAATGCAAAAGGAGAAGCAGAGGTCCTAATCACCATTCACTGCTTCTGCTCACTGGAGCTGGCGTTTTTAAAGCAGCTCTTGTGGTCCAATCTGGGACCTGACTTCTTTGCAGTTGTACCCATGCAAACTGCTTATTTTTGTTTCTTACAAACTTCTCTTTCCCCATCAGAAGGTCAAACACAGAATTCTCTGCCAAATCCAATGCTTCTCGAGTTAGGAGATTGCTATCTATAATCACAAAATATTTCCAGGGCGTTTTTTTTTAGCACTGGCAGTCTGAGCCCTCTGAATGTCAGTCAGATTGAAGTCTCCCCCAATAGCTTTCCTCCCCTCAGTTCACAGGACAAAGAGTGAGGAGCCCATCACCCCACTCTTCTATGGGATGCAGTGGCCCATAGCAGCAGTCAGTGTTTGGTTTCTGGGCAGTCTCTCAGCACGCACGTCCCCAAAGCAGTCACGGTCATTTACTTCTGCACTGTCAGATGATATCTTGCCATTGCTGGCGAGACCTGCCTGCTCATCTTTGCTGTTCTCAAGATAAATAGATTATAGTCTAAGAGTTTAATCACAGGCAGAAGTGACATCTTTACCTTGCTATATGCTGTCTCAGCTTTATACTCTTGCAACACAGAAGACACCTTCAGCTAGAGTTTGGAAATATATTCAGCATTAATTACGGCAGAAAAATTATCAGGGGAAACTATTTCTGCAGCATTATGTTATGAGTAAAAGGAAAAAAGTTGTTTGCAATAGAGGTGGTGAGACATAGGTTGCCCAAAAAGGTGGTGGTGCCCCGTCCCTGCAGACACCCAAGGTTGGGTTGGATGGGCTCTGAGCACTGATGGAGCTGTGGGTGTCCCTGCTCAGTGCAAGAGTTGGACCAGCTGGCCTTTAAGGGTCCCTTCCACCTCCAACAATGCTATGATTCCATGACCTTTTAATTGAGATGTTTATGGAAACACTTTCAGAACAATCAGTGAGATATTCAGCGTTTAGTTTTCACTGATAGTATCTAGTATCTGTTAATAGTATCTGTTAAGTAAAAAAATATGCTGGAATTTGAGTAAGAAGGGTCTTCATAATGCCCTTAACTCAGCACTGGCTGCTCCCCTACCCTGCCCTGCTGCCAGCCCAGCATGGGGAAAACCATTACTGAAATATCAGCTGGAATAACTGCACCTGAGTAGTGCTACTTATGGAGGAAAGCCAATAAGCAGTACTCAGTCTCTCCTTTCATACCACTTAAAGATTTTCTTGCACACGTATGAGGTTGATGGTGCAGTTGAGCAGACAATGACCCCTCTCTATTTCCTACTCTTCCTCTGCATTATGAGCTTATTTAGAGGGCACTTATTGAAAGTAGTCCCAACCTAAATTAAAATGTAATATGAAAAGATAACATTTGGTGGGCAGTATGGACACACAGTGCAGTGGTGTTACACAGCAGACAACGTGTCCTTTTCTTCCCTTGGGCTTTGGTGTTTGCTTGTCTTCACAATGTCACAGCATTTCCCTGCAGCTCCCTTCCAGCTGTGCCACCCTCAGCGCCCAATTCAGAGCAGAAGGAAGAAGTCTGGTCCTTTCTTCCTCACCTCACCTTTCTCAGTTTACTACAAGACAACCTGCAGGAGGACTGAAGAAAATACAAAATCACATCCCATGCAGGCACAAGCCAAAGGGTGACGCAGGTGTCACCGCGTGCCTTTGAGGCTTGCTCAGCTTTGCTTAGCTTCTAACTGAAGCTTATTTATCACTGCGACATCACAAAGGACTGCCTGAAAGCAAACCGAAGGAGGTGCATCAGCATGGTGGGAACTGGCAAGTCTCTGGAAAACTGTCACCTCAGTGCATGTCGTGTCCCCAAGAAGGGCCACAGCTAACATGAAACGCTGACTTAGTGTGAATCCAGCTTTAATTATTAAGTCTGCTAAAAGTGAAGATAAAAAATTCATTCTGAGCTAAATGAAGCTATTAGGAGAACAGTATTTCCCCATTATACATTTATATGTAGAGTATATATAGCTCTGAAAGTAATGCCTCCTATTTATTTCCATGGAAACCACAGCAGATACAAAGAGCACAATGACACTAGTTGATTGAGGAAATTCTCAGCTACAGAACACTTTTTCAGCATAGTCACCACCATGTAGTGTTGCTCTCACAAGATGCTTTTCCACCCCCAAACACCACATCACAGTTCCCCAGCTCATTTTTCCACCCCATACACCTCAGCTCACCAAATCTGGATACCAATGACTCCTGGCTTTGTTTAACATCACAGTTAGCTCTACCAGAAGATGAAAGTACCTTTAAGTCTAAAAGTACTTAAAAAAAAAAAAAAAAGGGTAGTTTTTGTGGTATCCTTCAGTTAGTGTGTTTGCCAGTACATATAAATTCAGGACAGCCTGCTTCCCTATAAAAGTTTGATGGAGTTGGGCTGGGAGGCTGACAAGACATTGAATTCCAAATTCGGGAAATGTTCAGCTCTATGATGTGTTTATAATTAAATTTATTTCCCTTGAATGCAGCTGAGCATCTCCCTGGCTTATTGTGCCAGGCAGCTGCATGTTAAGGATTATGCCTGTGGAATCACAGAGATTGATGACATGATTTAGCACCTATCTGGAATGATTAATTGAATTAAATATAGCTCACTCGATTTGCCTTAATCCTCTGAGGATAGCCTGGCCAAATTCACACCTTTGCTTTACTCTAGAAACCTTATTAAAAGGGAGAGAGAAAGTGTGATTGTTTTATATACTTAATTAGAATCTTTAGGTATTCAATAAATTGCTACTCTTCAGAGGGAAAATCTGAAAAATTTATTTTCTCATCTGTTGTCCTGCCTGGCTCCCCGCTTTCCCTGCTGCTCTGTAACCCAGCATGGTGGCTGCAAGCTCTGTGCTGGGACCCCCAGTTCAAAAGCTCTCAAAAAATCCACACCACCCGCAGGCAAAATTCAAAAGAAATTAGCTGTGTGCTTGTGGGATTGTTGTGCTGCTCTGCATAGCAAATCGCTGCCAAAGATTCAGCCTGGTGATGAGAGGTAAGACGTGAGCCCTGCCCTGAGCACAGGGGTAAAGCTCTGTTGCCCCTAGGTTTCCCCATGGGTGCAATACGTGGAGGTGGAGAAGCTCTGAAGGCATAGCACTGACATGCATCACACTG